CGATTATCTGCAGGATCCCACTGGTAAAGTGTTTGCAAAATAAGAAATAAATAACATTAGATGTCTGAGAAATGTAAATTCTAGTTTAGTAATGAAATTATTTATTTTTATTAGAAATTGCTAAATCCATTCGTTTTATTAAATTTGCTAAAACTGAATCTTACCTTGAAACAATTATAAATTTCAGCAATCTTGCTCTGGGGGACACGCTCAAAGGTGAAATACGGACCATCAAAACGTGACTTCCATAGTGAAGTGATAGCCCGAGGGATGTTTGGATCAACAAACTGGAGCTTATCATCAGTGAGTTTAACCCATTTCTTGCTCTCTCTATTTTCTGGAGGGCGTATTCCTTTGAAATTCCTGCTTCGTCCTTTTTTCCCCGTCGAGGATGAAGGGCCCTCGTTCTCATGATCAGGTGCAAAATTATAGTTCATTAATGGGTCAATCGTTTGCTGTATATCCGGAGCTACGCTACTATCAGTAAACAGCTGTGGGCAATCAAAATTGTGTTGCTCTTGTGATCCTGAGGAGGAAGATCTCCTCCTTGCTGAACCTGCAGGATTTCCAGACATCCCGAAAAATGAATAACAAAATAGTTATTAATATATTTATACAAATAATAAGTAACAAATTTAGAACAATCATACAATGATTCTATTTTAAATGAAAAATATATAACTTGATAAAACAATATATGTAAGACAAAGGAATTTTAATACATATATTTAATAAGTAATAATACATATGTTTCAATTAATCATCACTATCATCGCTATTATCACCATCCTCAACATTATCACTATTTCCTGAGGATTCTGAATCTTTTTCTTCTCCATAGTCCTCCTCTTCTTCAAATGTATTAGCATCAACCTCAACTTCTATAACACCTTCTGCACATAGTTGAAGTGATTGGTATGTAGTTAAATCTATAGCTAATGAAGAGCCTTGCATTATGGATGGGTCATCATCTTGAAAAATATCATCAACCTCTCTTGAAGATGAGGTAGATGAGGTCTCAATTAGATGTCTAGATTTGATTTTACATGCTGCCAACCATCCTCGGGTAGTTCTATCCGTGGTTGCCGGATATGGAGTATAATAAACTTGTTGTGCTTGACTAGCAAGGCAAAATGGCTCCCCCGTTGAAAGTTTAAACCTTGGATTGACATCAACAATTCCATGTTCAATATTGACACGTATTCCTCGATTTGTGTCATACCAATCACAATTAAACAATATTATAGTCTCTTGATGGCCTGAGTGTCCATAATACAATAACTCGATCACCTCTTTTAAGACACCATAATAATCAGTTTCATCTGCAGAATTAATAGTGGCTCCTTTAACACAAACACCATAGTTATATGTCTTTCTAGTACTAGTAAACTCTTCAGTCAAAAATTTAAAGCCGTTCACATAGAACCCATTATAAACATTCACTTCAA